CTAATGACAGCTCCAATAGCACCTTTACCAGCGTCGGGATGAAAAGATGCATCCACGTTAAGTTTCACCAGTCCGGAGCAAGGTTTAGCCCATCGATCTTGCTGGTTCCTGACCGGCTGTGAATTTTAGATGCGTTTTTTTTTTGTAATGGCCAAAATAGGCAGCATACATTTGCTAATCGGTGGGATACTGTCACCATGAGTCGCCTGTCGTCATAGCCACCATAAATACCAGCAGGCCGTTGCGATTAGGGATGCAGAGCGGTGGCCGATCCAACCCGCTTCCGAGTCAAAATATCTCAGGTTAGTTATAATTCTTCCGGACAGATGTAGTTTAGTTTGAACTAATTTCATGTTTACGCCTGCATCCCTAGTTGTGATAACCTCCTGTAGATCCAGCTCAGGAATGCCTAACATCGGTTTTTTGGGGCACTGCAAGATATTCTCAAGCACCACTGACCCACAACATTCACCCCCGACAGCTTTCAGCTCACTTGCATCCCTCTATCTCTTTCTCAACCAGAGGATGACCTGTCTAAGTTGTATCTCAACCCCTACAAAGTAAGAGTGCAGGCCAAAACTTCAAACAAAACGCAGAAGCATTTTGTATTTTTTTGCTCCATTCTTTAAAAATATTGGCACAAGAATCTACTTTGTCAATATATTTAAAATGTGTGAAGTTTGAAGGTAAGATAATGTATTAGGAAGGGGGTCGCAGTGCAACACGATGAACTCATTGCAGGGAAATACTCTGATTGACGTTCAGGTTCCGTGCATGCATATGTGAGGTAACTGCTAGCAATTGATCATAATTTGTTTGGGACCTCCTATGGCAGGCTGCATTTCCTTCTGAGCGGCTTGGGATGGGTGCCTTCCGGATAGCACTCGAAAGCGTCTTCAATCAGTAAGCCATTATATTATATAATTAATTAACTGTACTTCTAAGCACATATATGTTAAATACTTATCTGTCTCCTGTTAACTTAAATTTTCAGAGTTAATGATGTTCCGCTGAAGTATACATCTTATGGGAAACCTAATCCATTTGTGTTCAAGAATGCAGCTAATATACTAGAAAAAATTGTTATGGGTATCTATCCAAATTCACAGCTGACGAATGAAGTACAAGACCATCAGTTCTCTACTATCTACATGATCGGTGATAATCCTAAAGTTGATATCAATGGAGTTTTGAAGGTTAGCCTATGCTATGATTCCGCTGATTCTTCCAATAAAGAAAATCACTGCTTCCAGCAGTTGGCAGCGTTAGGAAGTTGTGCACTTATGAACTCAGGGTTGAACAGTTAGCATGCAATCCTACAAAATATCCGAAGACAGCATTTACCTTGTTGTTTGCATTCTGGCAAGAGATGTGAACATTGATGAATTTACAATTTGCAGGCTGGCCCCCCTTGGTCGTCCGTCCTTACTAGGACTGGTGTTTTTAGGGGAAATGATAATGATCCAAAGTTTCCTGCTGATTTGGTATGTATTTACTGCTGATTCTCTAGTTGGACCTTATGAATGTTTCCTCATCTGTAACAAATGTTGTCAACTAAAATTATGTATAACTGATAGTAGTTTCAGTCTGAAATCTGAATAACCATAAGGCAGTTGTCATGTTTCTTGACCTCAATGTCTTCTACATTTTATTTGAGTTCACCCTATAGTACATCAGGTCACCCAAGTAGCACAAGTTCATTTGACTTCATTCTATAGTACATCAGCTCACACAACTGGCAACTCACTTTGGAGTTTTGTTCTTCATACAGTGATGCCACCACACAATTATATTCTATGTTTGAAATCAAGATTAGCGGGTCGTCGGCCGGCTTTTGCCCATTTCTTTTATTTGCTGAAAACAGGCTTTCACCCATTATTTTAGGTTAGATAGATTCAGTCAATTTCATTGCTTAGTCCACCATTCTGTGTCACGTATTGGTTCTTGGTTTGATGATATAAACGAGTAGTAAAAGCATGAAATACCAACTTAGAAATTGTTTAGTACTGTCTTGATCGGTCAAATCTACTTTGTGACAGCGAACAACAACGATCGAATCCTGTCTATTACTCCCTTGATTAATCCAACCAAGAAGTAATTAGTATCCTGCTGCATGACCCTGCCTGCAACCTACTGCGTTTACTTTATTACCTCCATGTACCATTCATTTGCACGCATAGCTAAGACTACTATTACATGTCCCATCAGTTGATTAGCCTTTTTTTTGGGAGGGGCATCAGTCACTGGTCATGATAAATTGGCTTTTCTTCGCAGCTTCAGTGTGATGCCGTGGCTTTACCTGTACAACCTACAGCTTGATGCTTTCGCCTTTTACATCGTTTGTTCCAAAATATAAGCCGTGTTGGACTTAAACAGTCTCCACTGCATCTGACTACTATTTAAATCTTAGCATGCTACTAAAAATAGTACACAGATCAGTATATAACATGAAATGATTTCACAAAGATGCACGGAATGACATAATTTTACATCATCAATTATTTACCTTTGTGTAAATTAGTGGTCAAAGTTTTATAGCGTTGACTGCAAGCATAATAATGCACCTTAAATTTTGGGATGGATGAAGCGATATTTTGTTACTGCACAACTATTATTGTCACTGCTTAAGGGCCATATGGTTAGCTTTAAAGTTTTAGAGTAGAGCAAGCCAAAGAAATTCTAGCTGTCAAGATTACTATGGCTCATCATATAATTCAATCTGCTATATAACTTCAATATCTATTTTATGCTAGTCTGATTCCGAAGTAAGATGGTTATCTTACCATGCTTCAATGAGTGTAAAGGTAGTTGTTTTGTAAAACTAGATAATTTACCAGCCCAAATGTGAAAAAGTAACTCATAAAAGGTTAGTTTGCTATTGTTGTGATCTACTATACAAGTAGCTGGTTATGGTTCTGAACTTCTGACCCCAAAGGAGGTGTAACGTAAATGTTTGTGGGGATGTTGTCTTCTGTAGTTTATTAACAATATGTACAATGTTTAATTTACAAGCACCGTGATGCCATCTCCCGTCATACATGTGACACATCAGTACTCAATGTTTTGGACTTTTGGGAGCGTACAATGGCAGCAGAACCATAACCACAAACTAATGCTCTAAGCCATTAAGCATCGGAAGTACACCAAGTATGATCGGAGATGGCATAAAAGAAGAATTTGCAGTAGTGGGTAAATAAAACATAGTAGACACGTTTGATAAACTACAGAAAACAGCATCCACTCAAAAACTTTGGGTGATACATGTCACCTTTTTTGGGAGCAGAACCATAACGACAAACTATCCATTGCTGTGATATCATGCTTGTGTATTGGCTTGCTGTTCTAACTGCACTTGTTTATTTCTTACAGGTTGTTGATACTGTTGATGATGCCATCAGCTGTATTTTGGAAAAGGAAGGTATACGGTGACATTGTCGCAATGGAGCCTGCTCATCTATTCTCAATGCGTTGGCATTTTGCCATTTTTTGTCTAGCAAAGTTGGAACAAGTGCTGGCTGGAATCCCGTCTCTAAAGTCATTGTACTATACAGATATGCTCTTGTGAGAGGAAAAGGCCCCCATTATTTAGTTAGTGCACCAGCCGGTTCAAAGATTAAAGAATGCGTCTATGTGCTTAAAAACACCCACCAAATTGTCATGGTCGTGCAGCATACTATAAATCTTCTAGTATGTACTCCCCTGTATCTAAATATAAGACGTAACGTCTAATATTTTGATACGGAGGAAGTAGAAATTTGTGCAAAAACACTACTCCCTACATTTCAGAATATAAGTTGTATTGTTTTTTGCGCAAGTCAACCATTTGAATGTTTGACTAAAATTATAGAATAAAGTAACAAAATATGCAATACCTAATAGATAAAATATGAAACTACTTTTAATTATAGAATAGATGATATAAATTTCGTATTATAGATATTGTTATATTTTTCTAAAAACTCGGTCAAACATGCACTTGTTTGACTTTTGAAAAAACAAATACACCTTATATAAAGGAACGGAGGGAGTAATATTATATTATGCACTATAAAGGACATGCATGATCATGTTCCTTTCATATTTTTCCTTTCGCAAATGTATATGGGAGTATTTAACATTTTCAAATGTATATACAAGTTTTCATGACTTGTCAATTAGACGGGCTGAATGAGGCTAGCTAGTCAGAAGTGAAACATTGTTAACCTACAATCTTTTATATAGTACGAGTACATCCTTCCTCCGGAATTAACTGCCCTGAAATGAGTTTATCACAACTGCCGCTGAAATGAAATGAGTGTATAATTTAATTCCGGGCGGAGGGAGTTGAAATGAATGTATAATTTAATTCCGGACGGAGGGAGTACTAACTATACGAGTCTTGTGGTTTACCTTTAGTCTCTGTAATGAAACATGTTGCTGTGGCGCCTCGTAGGTACATGTGCATCACTGTTTTCCTCCCTCCTGTCAAAATATGAATGATTCTACTTCTTTTCTGGTTCAAACTTTTTTCAGTTTGACTAAACTTTTTAGAAAAAATATATATTAACAATTTTTTTCAAAAAGAAGGATGACTCCCGGCCTTTGCATGCTTAGTGTCAAATTAGTTTTCTTAAATCTATCATGAAATGTACGTTTGTAATGTATGTATTTGGTGTTGTAAATATTAGTAATTTTCTATAAACTTATTCAAAATTAATACTGTCTGACTTAGAGAAAACTGTATTCAACCACATTTTCAATAGGAAGGAGTAATAATCTTTAAAGAGTATGAATATGCAGAACACAACGGTCTATCTTCCTCGCTGAATATACGGTCACACATAATCCAAAGGAACCCCTCAAAAGAAAACATAATCCAAAGGTCCACGTGCACCGTGTCCACGGAAGAAACCACCCATCATCGTCTTCTCCATAGATAAGCTTTTTCCACTCACTCTATCTTCCTCGCCGTTTCTCCCCAACCCAACCCCCGTCCGGCGCGCCCGCCCGCCCTAGAAAAAATGGAGACCTCCTTCCTCCCTACCGCGCGGCCCCTCCCCGCGTTCCAAACCCTAGCCGCGGCCCCGCGCTGCCCCCGCCCTCTGCGCCGCTCCACCATCCGCGCCGCCATCTCCCGCGGGCGCAAGGAGGACACGGTCGCCGTGGTCCGCGAGCAGCTGGAGGGGTGCTACCTCCTGGCCGGCATCCGCTACGAGGGCCTGACGGTGAAGCAGTTCCAGGGCATCCGCGACGCGCTGCCGGAGTCGTGCCACCTCCTGGTGGCGAAGAACACGCTGGTGGGGAAGGCCATCGAGGGCACCCCCTGGGAGGCGCTCAAGCCGTGCATGAAGGGCATGAACGCCTGGCTCTTCGTCCACACGGAGGAGGTCCCCGTCGCGCTCAAGCCCTACCGCGCCTTCCAGAAGGAGGAGCGCGTCGAGGAGACCAACGACTTCATCGGGGCGGTGTTCGAGGGCAAGTACTACGCGCCCGCCGAGTTCAAGTCGCTCGAGACCATGCCCAGCCGCGCCGAGGTCTACTCCAAGCTGCTCGGCGCCCTCAATGGGCCGGCCACCTCCCTCGTCACCACGCTGCAGGCGCCCGCCAGGGACGTCGTCGCCGTGCTCTCGGCCTACGTGCGCAAGCTCGAGGAGGAGTCCGGCGCCGGCGCCGGCACCGCCTAGTGGCAGTTGCGATATGGTTGTGCCTCCTATCCTCACATCTCACTCCTTGTTTGTACAATTCCTTGTACCTTTACTGTCTCCCATTTGAATTGAATCACAAGTTTTCCCCTTCACAATGTGCGGCCTGTAATTGGGCAGTTTCTCTTGCCTGCTGGTGTCCAAACTGGGATGAAATTGGAAAAGGATGGTTCGAGAATCGGGCAATGTATATCATGTTGATGAATAATTTGGTTTGTGTAAGAGCAAGTTTAATAGGGTAAGGACCCATGACAAACAATGGGAACTACTGATGGCTATTTTTATGTCAGTTTATATCGTCAAATTTCATTTTTCAGGCGACGGTGAGGCTTCGTCGCAAGGCTTTGTCGCATTCTTCACTTAACCGTGTGCTATGGTTCTGAAGTTAGACAAAATGTTTGTGTTTGTGCATCATAACCTGACCGTGGCTTCGCTGCCTCCACTTTCTGCTCAGAAACCACTCAGGATTCAGATTTTAGTAACACTAACTAGGAGTTGGAAATTCTGTGAAATAGATCTCAAAGTTTCCTGTTGATCGCCAAAAAATCATACAGTACATTGTATAAGATCACCACATATGACGCTAGGATAACCGATTGCCACCACATTTCAGACAACTCAGTGAACTACCACTTTCGCGCCTAATGAGTAAAAAAATTGCACTCATGACGAATTGAGCTCGCAAAGACAACGTTTCTGACAGGTTGGCCCTGCCTGTCAGCCTGATGAGGCGTCCGCGGACAGACGCCGCCAGAAGGCTCCGTCCGTTAGGCAGGCGTCAGGTACCCTACGGTATTAAGGGCATGCGCCATCCGTTTCAATCCCACCCATCCCCAAGACTCCTCGGCCCCACTTTGTTGCCGTTGTTGCCATTGCCTAGTCGTCGGGTAACCGCCTTCGCGGTAACCATGGTCTCCTAGGAGGATCTCTCGAGCGGCTCGTCGTCCAACGACGATTCCATAAGCAACCAGGTTCGTCCTGATCTCTCCCTCTCACGCGGCTAGGGTTATGGATTTGGGGGAAATAGGATTCTTTTTTTACACACATTGACTGAAGCCGATTTGTTCTCATTTCAGCTTCCTAGGACTGTGTTCTGCAAGCAATGCAGCGGAGTGGCTTCAGATCTGCGTTTTGTGTGTCAGCACAAATCCTCCTGTGAGAAGTTTGTGGCATTTGAGTCAGTGGATAGTGGCAGGAGGTTTTTGGCTTGCGCGAAAAAGGTTGGTGGTGTCAAATTGGTAGGTTTAGCAATGAAATTACTTGTGAGATTCTGTAGTGTACTTTTTTTGGCATGATGAAGTGCAATTTGCTTATTTTTGAGATATAATGGGAAGAATAGGAAGAACTGAAGTGCACCTATCTGGAGCGGGTTGATCCCGAGTGGCCTGATACTCTTAAGATGGACCTAGCTAAGTTATAGACCATGTATGATGATGAGAATAGAGAGTGGCTTTGAGAAAATGTGGTTAATGCAGAAGAGAACTCCAAGATACTAGGAGACAAGAAAAAGGTGGAGAATGACCACATAATTTTCGAAGTTGATTTTGCAAAAATGGTCGTTGAGTAGTTCAGCAATGAACTGGTGGTTGTGACTTGTGAGTGATCTGAAGGCAGAGCCGGAGAAGAAGAACCTGTAGCTTGATACGTCTCCAACATATTTATAATTTTTTATTGTTCCATGCAGTTATATTATCATTCTTGAATGTTATACAATCATTCTATAGCAATTTTATATCCTTTTTTGGGACTAACCTATTGACATAGTGCCCAGTGTAAGTTGCTGTTTTTTGCTTGTTTTTACTTCGCAGAATATCAGTACCAAATGGAGTCCAAACGCAGCGAAACTTTTCGGAGATTTTTTCTGGACCAGAAGACACCCAGTGGGCCAAAGAAGTACCAGAGGGGAGGCCCGAGGTGGGCACAACCCACCAAGGCGCGCCAGGAGGCCCAGGTGGGTTGTGCCCACCCCGGTGACCTCCCGCACCGCCTCTTCGCCTTATAAATTCTCAAATATTTCAAAAACCCTAGGAAAGTCGACGAAACACAATTCCAGCCGCGGCAAGTTTCAGAACCACGAGATCCAATCTAGACACCATCACGGAGGTGTTCATCATCCTCATTGGTGCCTCTCCAATGATACATGCGTAGTTCACCATAGACCTACGGATCCGTAGGCAGTAGCTAGATGGTTTCCTCTCTTTCTTTTGATTCCCAATACAATGGCCTCTTGGAGATCTATTTGATGTAACTCTTTTTGCGGTGTGTTTGTTGGGATCTGATGAACTTTGAGTTTATGATCAGATCTATATCCAAGAATATTATTTGAGTCTTCTTTGATCTCTTATATGCATGATTATTAATAGCCTTGTATTTCTTCTTCGAATCTTTGGTTCAGTTAGGCCAACTAGACCGTTTTTTCTTGCCATGGAAAGAGGTGCTTTGTGATGGGTTCGATCTTGTGGTGTTCTTTCCCAGTGATAGAAGGGGCAGCAAGACACGCATGTATCGTTGCTATCAAGGATAGCAAGACGGGGGCTATTCCTACATGAATAGATGTTGTCTACATCATGTCATCGTTCTTATTGCATTACTCCGTTTCTCCGTGAACTTAATACACTAGATGGATGCTGGATAGCGGTCGATGTGTGGAGTAATAGTAGTAGATGCAGGCAGGCGTCGGTCTACTAATCTTGGACGTGATGCCTATATATTGATTATTGTCTTGAATATCGTCATAATTATTCGATCTTCTATCAATTGCCCAACAGTAATTTGTTTATCCACCATGTGCTATTTCTTGGGAGAAGCCACTAGTGAAATATATGGCCCCCGGGTCTATTCTTTATCATATTTGCTTTGAGATCTATTTTTATTCGCTTTTGTTTTCAGATCTATTATTCCAAAAACCCAAAAATACCTTGCTGCGCTTTTTTATTACTTATTTTATTTCGCGTTTTATCGAGAACTATTTATCCAATCTACTCCAAATATTCTCCTGTCAACTTGACAATTTATGGCGCCATTACCCAGTAGAGATTGACAACCCCTCATACGCATCGGGTTGCAAGTATTTTTTCTTTGTGCGCAAGTACCATTTTACATAGTGTTGCTTGGTTCTCCTACTGTATTGATACCTTGGTTTCACAACTGAGGGAAATACCTACCGCAGTTGTACTGCATCATCCCTTCCTCTATGGGGAAATACCAACGCAGTTTCAAGTGACATCAAGGCGCCCCCTGGGGGCGCGCCTGGTGATCCTGTGGCTCTCCCGTAGCTCCCCCAGTCTCCTCCCGAGGCTCCTACGGTGTCACGCCCAATATGCGACCCTATCCAAAAGGAACTCGAAGGTCCCACCAAGGATAGACCCGCATATTGAAACGCTTTTGCAAGGTGGATATCATTACATCAATATTACATAATAGATGGGGATACATACAAGAGGCATACAATGCCACACGAATACAACATCAATACATCATACATAAGATCAACATCCGAACTACGGATGAAACACAAACAGAAACTCAAACGACATCCACCCTGCTAGCCTAGGCTGCCGACCTGGAACCTATTCCCTGATCAAAGAAGAAGCAGAAGAAGAACTCCAAACAAGCAAACATCGCTCTCGCGTCATGATCATCACATAACCTGTACCTACAACTGTTGTTGTAGTAATCTGTGAGCCACGAGGACTCAGCAATCCCATTACCATGGGTATCAAGACTAGCAAAGCTTAATCGGAAAGAAAGGGGTAAAGTGGTGAGGTTGCAGCAGCGACTAAGCATATATGGTGGCTAACATACGCAAATAAGAGCGAGAAGAGAAGCAAAGGAACGATCGTCAACTAGTAATGATCAAGAAGTGATCCTGAACTCCTACTTACGTCAGTCATAACCCAAAACCGTGTTCACTTCCCGGACTCCGCCGAAAAGAGACCATCACGGTTACACACGCGGTTGATGCGTTTTAATTTGGATCTGGTGTCAAGTTATCTACAATCGGACATTAACAAATTCCCATCTGCCTATAACCGCATGCACGGCTTTCGAAAGATTATACCCTGCAGGGGTGTCCCAACTTAGCCCATGATAAGCTCTCGCGATCAACGAAGGATATACCTTCTCCCAGGAAGACCCGATCAGACTCGGAATCCCGGTTTACAAGACATTTCGACAATGGTAAAACAAGACCAGCAAAGCCGCCCGATGCGCCGACAATCCCGATAGGAGCTGCACATATCTCGTTCTCAGGGCAACACCGGATAAGTCAAGCTACGAGTAAAACCAGCCCTCGAGTTGCCCCGAGGTGGCCCCGCAGACTGCTCAGTTCGGACCAACACTTAGACAAGCACTGTCCTGGGGGGGGGGGGCTAAAATAAAGATGACCCTCGGGTTGGCCGACCCAAGGGAAAGGTATAGGTGGTGGTGAGGCAAATGGTAAAACCAAGGTTGGGCCTTGCTGGAGGAGTTTTATTCAAAGCGAACTGTCAAGGGGGTCCCATAAATCACCCAATCGTGTAAGGAATGCAAAATCCGGGAACATAACACCGGTATGACGGAAACTAGGGCGGTAAGAGTGGAACAAAACACCAGGCAAAAGGCCGAGTCTTCCACCCTTTACCAAGTATATAGATGCATTATTAATATAAGAGATATTGTGATATCCCAACCAAAATCCTGTCCACCATGGAGCAATCTTCAACTTCACCTGCAACTAGCAACGCTATAAGAGGGGCTGAGCAAAGCGGTAACATAGCCAAACAATGGTTTGCATAGGAAAGGTGTCAAAGGTTAGAGGCTGACATGGCAAGTAGGGAGGCTTGATAAACAGGTGATAGGTAGCACAGCATAGCGATAGAACGAAGCAACTAGCATAGCAATGATAGTAATGAGATCCAGGGTAGCAGTCATCTTGCCTGAAATCCCGCAAGGACGAAGAACGAGTCCATGAAGAAGACGAACGGATGAAGCCGAACCAAGCA